CTATGAAGACATCGGCAAGACGGTTTCTCACTACGGTGGTCTCCGAATCACAGCCAGTCAGGCCATCGAGTACGCGGCATGGGGAAAGGCCAAACAGTTGGCATGGGACAGAGGGTACGACTCCGAAGGCAAGACATGCTACATCTGCTACTACGATGCCGGGAACTGCGCTTATGCTGGTTTCATGAGAATGCTTTTGACTCCGGAAGAGCGCCAAGAATGCTACAGAGGGTCAGTCTTGCCCAAGGAAGAGCTCCTGGGTGACACGGTGGAGCTGGCGCTCGGGCTTCTTACAATTGCAATGAGACACCCAAGTCATTTTCCGAATTGGGGTGGCCTTGAGGGAGCAAATGCGTGCGCGAGGGGAATCGAAAGATCATTCTTCCGCTACGCGTCGGCCGAAGCTATCGAGCTGATCACGGTTGACTCCCCGCGCAAAAGGACACCGCCCAAGAAGAATGAAGCAGTCGCTGAGATCGTCAACAACATGTCCGCTGACCTCGTGATTGATTTCACAGTGATCGTCGATGGTGATATCTACCCTGTAGAGATTGCGAGAACCGACGAGACACAGGCCGCTGACAACGTCACGGACGATCCAGGGTTCTCAGTTGCTCCACCAATACCTGCACAGGATGTAGATGTGGATGCGCAACCCGAAGAAGAACAAGGTGCAGAAGGCCCTGATCCCAGGCATGCAATTCGTGAAGGATTTGTCGCGCAGCTTCAGGACTATGTGGGCGTACTCGCTCAGGGCGAAATGTCGGTCGGAAGCGACCGCATCACGTTCTGTGTCGCTTGTGGCAGTGATTTACACACTCTGTCCAATTGCACAGAAAATGCTGCGACCCGGGATCTGGTACTTCGAGGCGTCCAGATTATCAAGGAAAGCCTTCTTCGATATCCACGTCGAGTACCTCCACAAGAGGCTGAGCCAATGGACGTTGACACCACAGACCATGTGAGTGTTGCATCCTCGGACCGACGACCCAAGGCCAAAGCCCGACCGCGACGCGGAGGCGAAGCCGTACGGGGTGATGTGGTCTTGATCCGTTATGAGAACAAACACAATCTCTGCACGGATGTGGAGAACCGTCGGGGCCTACATGATGCTTGTGGCGTACCACTGCAGGAATCGGGACCAGAGAATAGCCAGCGAGTGGTGGACCTCATTGAGCAGCTTTCGGACCATCGCGACCGACGCCTACCTCAACGAGGAGACCGTCCTAGCTTTGCTTACGATGATACCACTCATAGCTACACCAATGCAGGCTACGAATCCATCGGCGGCGGAAGGCCAATCCGGTGCGGGATTCTCGACCTGATCCCAACCAAGGGTGCAAGCTTCATCAACAATCGATGGGACCTCGTGAACGAAGTTGTCCTTCGCGACATCACCCGTCAGCGCAGGCTGAACGCGGATTGGGCGCTATCATGCATCCAATCTGACCTACGTCACAGAATCGCCAGGCGCCCAGGCTCGGAATGGCTTGACAACAGGTGCCAGGTGGCATTCAACAGTGTCATCAAATGTGATGAAGGAGGGTGGGTGATGATCGAAGATTTGGTGAGGCATGAGCCACTATGGACCCATGAAAGCAGACGCATCACCGAAGCGGTCTCAAGGACCGATGAGCAACAGAAGAAGAGAGTGTACAATGAAAGACTTCAGCTATTGTTCCAAGGGAACATGATTGCAGCCACGAAACGCCACAAGGCCAAGATTCGGTTGCAGTTCCTGGGTGTGAGAGTGAAGGACCCCGGCACGGAAACTCTTGGATCAGCAGGTTCGAACAGGTTGGTATCGGTTCAGGACCAGATCACGGAGATCCAGAACAACGATCATTGCCGGCACGGCCAGAGGTACCTGAACATGTGCAACGGCTGGGTGAAGCCATGGGCAGTTCGGGCTACGAGTGGTCACTCTGCGCACTCAGATCCCCAGAACAACTTGCTTCAGTTGGACAAGAACAGGTTCGCAATATCTCCATCTATGACCCTCTTGCAACGTCTTGGAGGTGCGTTCCACGCTACGGCATGCCGCAACTTGGATTCCATTGTCACGCAAGGCATCATGCCTGGTTCGGAGGACCCCGACGGGGACTTCGACCATAGGCGCCAATTCCGAGGCAACCAAGGTGGCAGACTCCACAGCTATTGGGGGGTGTTTGCGCCGTTCGATCACCGGAACGCAACGACCAAGATGCGAGTACATGGACGAGACGCCAAGCACATGCCATTGGCGGTCCTTCATGTCCCATCGCAGGACCTTGCACGAGAAGATGGACGTATCACAGACAGCGGCATCGTGATCGTTGGCCGAACGATACCTTTCCATTTCGTCAAGGAGGTATGGTTTTGCGTCCCGGATCCTCGAGATACACACTCTTTCGCTCTGGTGGAAAAGATCTACGATGAACGGTTGGAGAAAGAGCTGGTGTTGGACTACAATGCATCACCGTTGCTTCCTGAGTTCGAGAGATACCGAACGCCAAGCAAGATCATGGAATTGCTTTGCGAGATGCCTCCTGGACCCCACGACACAAGCAAGGAGCAGATCATTCGAGACCTCACGACTGTCCTGGAGTCCCACAGGGAGAACACGGTTCGGCATCACTACATGGACAAAGGAATCAAGTTTGTCATCAAGAATTGGCGACCCGAAGACCTACGCAGAGACGAGGATGGACGGAGAATGAGGGTATGCCCGGCATGCTACAACATCGTTCCAGCATGTTTCTCCCGATGCACGTCTTGCTGGTCACAGTTCGTTTCGAGCGGATATTACCAAGGTTCTCCACAACGGGAGACTCCTACGGAGATCCCCAGTGACTTCATTGCTCAGACAATGGAAGCCGCAGCAGCCGCAGTGCCTGAGGCGCCCGAAGAGGAGCAGGAAGCCATGGAGGTAGAGACCGTTGCGGAACCTGAGGAAATCCCAGAACCATCTGTCATCGCGGAGGACGATCCGGAACAGGAACCTGATGAAGAAATGGACATAGAGCCAGGAGAGGACTTTGATGACGCTGTACCAGAAGCAATTGCACAGGAACGTCGTCCCGTCTTCGTTACCGGCCAGTCTTTGAACATCGATCCTGAGCTACAACTTGCACGTACCGCCATGCAGCCATCCTACTATTCTGGAAAGCGAAATGCCCATTGCATTGACGCGAACATGACCGCTCTTTCGTACATGGCATACGTGGTATGCAGATCCATCTACAAGGCTTGGTCAGGATTCGCAAAGTGGGCGACTATGCCGTTGTTCCAGATGAGGGAAAGTTTCGCACTTGGCCAACGCTATGATGTGCTCGGAAAGTGGGGATCTTTGGCGGCAGTGGATAGGGAAACGGGTGTGAGCAAGGATGTGACTGATGAGGAGATCATTCGCTTTGCCAAGGAGCCTGAGAACCTCAAGCAGTATGATCCCAACGGGACTTACACCTTGAAGCGCTTCCGGACGAACCAGATGCTTTCGTTGCTTACACGGGGAGCCAACATGATGGGAATTGGCAGGGACAACTTCAACCCTACTACTTACTTGAAGAGCGAAAGGGATGAAGATGTGAAGGCTATGCACTTTTGTTGCCTGAACGTCCTGTGCGAGGTGATTCCAATGGTGACGGGACACCAACAATTCTCAGTGCTACGACCAACGCCAACTGGACCGGTGGACTTCTTGTACATCGACCCCGTCGGTATCTGCTGACTCATTCTGATCAGTCAGTCCAGACCATCGGCTTGCTGGTGGACCATAGTGTGCAAATGCCTGCGCATTTCATGGACAGATTGAATCGATCCAAGGCTGAGAGACAGCAAAACCCGACGACCAAGCGTACTGAAGCCCTACACCACATTTCGGCCGCTGACTATCTCCCTCCAGGTGGTACTTCCATCCTGGACACGCCTGTCACTACGGAGGAACGTGAAAGCGCTTCTTCGGCCAAGGGACCTTCAAAAGGGCGTGGGAGAACCGGAGGTGAGCAGCATGGAGGCTGGAACTCCAACTCCTACTACGACTACACCGCCGGCAAAGGCCGAAACAAAGGCAAGGACAAGGGAAAGCATCGGGAACAGTATCCAGAGGAAAACCTCCGGCCCTGGGACCGCGATCCTGCGACCACGCGAAGATGGAGATGAATCAACGCTTGGTCTTCCTCGCCTATCAGTTCGTGACCTCTGAGCTTCGCCCATGGAATGCCATCGCGAATGCTTCTTTCTTCGGTGACGCCTGATTCGTTTGTCATTTCAGGGGATCGTTACTGACGTAGATGAGTGTCACAACGTTTCTAATTGGGATGCAAAGCTCTGATTTTCAATGTCAACGTTGCGGCGGAACATTTTCTGTTGTCCTATCGTGCCATCTTCCGGGTGAGCAGCGTCGGAGACGCAACTCATGGGGGGTGCGAACGGACTGCGATGCCTTGTCAAGTTCTAAGGTGTCACTATAAGAGCTGTGAGCAAGACCGTGTAAAGTGCAAGAGAAGGGGGCACGCTACGCGTCCCTCGACTCTAAGGGGGCATGCTACGCATCCCTCATCTTTACCTTTCTATGTGACCGCCAACGCAACGTTTGGCTCAAGTCAATGCCCATAGCTAAGTGCTATATGTGTCTTCTATCCTGAGCAATCAGAGCTATCCCGTTGCACAGACGAACCGCCGCCGGCAGTGAGTGCAAAAGGAACGGCCGCCGGTTCTGCCTGCATAGGATTGCACGTGTGGAAGTAAGAGGGAGAGACAGGGTCCAGTCTGTGGAGAGTGCAAGCCAACCACACCTACATTCATTACAGCTCTGGTGGGGAGAGCAGCAACCAAGTCGAGATCAATCCCCCACGCAGTATACCTTCAATGTCTCGCAACATGGAGTCATGTTTTAATAACCGGAAGCTGGTTTTGCAGTATATTTTAATATTAGAGCTACAAGCAGGAATCCCGAAAACCTTATTCTAATTAGTAAGGCCCCGACGTTAGTCGTATGGATCTATCGGAAGCCTGTCCAGGGACCTTTCTTTGTGGCCAATTCTTCGTTGACTGTGAGCAGAGCTCTGCGCAGTCGATCCACTGGAGGCAGCAGAGGGACCCAAACGAGGCCGGGCCCATCAGAGAAACTACTACTGTAGGGGCCTAGAATACCCTTTTGTGGTTCATTATTATAATCACAGTATGCTATACTATACCCCAACCCCCTACTCAATCTATGCAGGCTCCTATAAGATATTTCCTTCGATCAGAGGATGACTGCCGCCAGACATGCAAACCTCGCCCTAAAGGAAGAGAGCAGGAATACAGTCTCAGAAGGGTTTGGGTTTGGGGTTGACGGTTTGAGGCTTGAGGGCCTTAGAACTTTGCGTGTAGAAGTTCAAACAGGGGTCTATGCTGAGAGTGAGGAGCCCAAATCACCAGGAACATTCTTCTGTTCCGTTGCCCTTATATAGCCCCCACAGGCTCATCAAAGAGGGTTTAGGGTGTAGGATTTTCGTGTTGGGATCTGGGTTTCTTCGGTTTCGTGTCGTTAGTCCTCGTAAGTTCTACTGCGGAGCAGGGCTTCAGGCATGTGTTGAGCAGGATCAGTTGACCTGTCTAGGCCTTGAAGCGACTACTGCTTATGTATCTCCCGGGTTCCTTGTTAGAGTAGCAGGAAGGGTAAAGAAATGGTTAAATAACGCGAAATTCTCGCTTCCTCAAGATTTAACCATGATGATACTAAAACATATCCCGAAACCCCGTCCTAGTTTCAGCGCCCGCAAGATAACCCAGTAAACTCACTAAGCTAAACCATTATAACGGACCCAAGGACCCCTTAAATCGTTAAAGCTGAAAGGTTCTCGCCGTTTTCGAACTGTCGAACAATACCAGATCCATTGAAACCATGAGGGTGGGGCTCAGGTTCAAGAGTTGGCAATGCAAGGCTTCATTCAGTCGAGGATTGGATTTCAGGGTGTGTTGGTTAGGGTTGAAGGTCGGGTCAGAGTTCAAGAGAGGGGCTTGCTTATTTAGCAACAGTAGACTTATTCCCGTTTCCTCTCCAGAAAGTTGTGCAATAATTTGCCCCAACACACTTGTCGAATTAATAAGGGCTGTGCGGTAGCGGAATTCTCAACCCCCGAAAGCAGTCAGGTTTCCCAGTGGGTGCGGCCCGAGCCGCCGGAGAATTCCCTGACAGATACTCTGCCCAAGCAGACAGCTATTACACCGGTTCAGGGGTTAAGGATTCAGGGAAACCTATTCAGGCTTTGGGGGTGTGGAGTGTAGGGCTTTGCATTTAGGCTGGTTCGGGGGGTTCAGGTTCATAGGATTGGAGTTTTGGAGTTTTGGTTTCCGATTGTTAGACTTTGGGGTTTAGGTTTGGGTTTTTGATTTTTGGTTGGGCTTGGGGCGTTGGGGCGTGGTAGTTACTGGTAGTTAGGATTCTTTGTTTTCGGTTTTTGGAGGCTGGGGGAGGGGTTTGGGATTCGGGTTCAGCTACAGTCTGACACAGGTATGTGAGACTGTCAAGACGGAGAAAGAGGTGGCTCCTGACGGAAGGCAGGCCAGCGGGAGTAAGGGGCTGAGGTTTGGGCGTTCTTGCTTTAGTGCTTTCGAGGTTAGCTTCAGTTTCAGGCTTGACTGGGGTGCAGACTACGGCCCTGAATCAGATGCATTATGAAACCCTACAGCCTAGGCTATAAGTTCAATCTCAGCCAGACAACAAGACGCCCAAGCTGGTAGAAGAGAGAAGCCGTAAACCAAAACTAGCTGAACGTCAAGCCGACATGTCATAAGATTTCATCCTACACACTAACATACGGGCCGGAAAAACATGCAACATTACTCCCGTACAGTTTCGGTGCACTATAAACCCGAACCCAATTCTAACATCTACATGAAAAGTAAACCCTGCGAAACCATCATAGTAAGCCGCATAGAACCCCTCAAAGGAACTCGCTTCCCATTGTTCGGTTCCCAATGCTCCCTCCAGTCTGATGATCCTCCGAGTAAAGCACCGGGTTTCTGCCCCAAGTTGAGTTGGATGCGAAGGACTTAACCTTGTGGAATTCCCTGCCTTTCCGAGTGAGTAGGGTTTCAGTTAAAGGCAGGGGTTATGGGTTGGGAGTAAGGATTTAAGACTCCCTGTTTTGCTTTGCTTACAGTTTCTCCCCCACGCCTGGAATAAGTTTCTCTTGTGCTCCTTTTGCAGCCCTGCAAGGGGCCTTCTTTCAGAGCCTCCATTTCTAAAGCTTATGCGCATGCGAACATGGAACATCGCATTTCTGCAAGGAGCACACACACACACACCCCAAAAAGCCTGCAACGCCAACAATGGCTTAGGGTTCGCCCCCGTAACCCTTAAACTGTTTAGCCCCACCTTAAAGCTGCACAGGCCCAAAGTCCAACCCAGAGACCCGACCTCCCTCACCATAATCCCCTCACCTGGCCTCCAGGTGCCTATAAGGAGTACACTGAGGGTTACTAGAAGGGGGTGGCTACTATAATTACTATAACGTTGAGGGTTTGAGGTATGCTACGAGACCCGAAAAGTCAAATGCGAATTACAGCCTAGGTACGTGTACTCCGGGACGTTCTAAGCCCTAAACCGTCCTAAACCCAAGCTCGAATTGCAGGTTCCTGCTTACATGCCCGTTCTGCGACAGAGCTGTTCAAGCTTCTGAGGCCCCTTGCAGGATATCATACATATCATAGTATGCTGAAAAGTGTCAACCACAGCATATTATCATGGATAACAGTATGGTTGCAATTTTTCTCCCTATGTGTGTAGAAATTACATACATTGTAAATAAATAAATACATGTGTATATATATATGCACTACATACATACGTACATACATATAGTTACATACATACCATCTGTATATATATATATATACACATGATATTGTTGCCTTCGCCTCCCCCCCTCCACAGCCCTTCCCCCCCAATGGTTTGCACGTACGCGCGCACGCGTACCGTTGGTGTGTTTAGGGAGGATACCAGGCGGCCTGCAGAGCGGACAGCGCAGAGCCAAAGGGCTGCAGAAATATAGGGGCCTGAATAATTACTTATACTGTGTTTTGTTTGTTTTTGTTGGAGGGGGGGGGTCCTTGCTATAATTATGGTATAATATCCACCAGAGCCCTATTCTAAATATCAAGGCTCCTATATCACTTTATGGCGCATATTCCCTGAAGCAGTGTCTGGAGGCCATATCGGACACAGAGTCGTGGGCTTTCGCAAGGTCTGATGGGAGAGTGCACCGTCCGAGACCCCCACATCCCAGAGCGCAATGAAGAAGTGTATACTGGTTTCTGTGAAGGATTCTTCGGAATACTTGTGCTATTTTGTGAGAATTATTTGTGATGATCTGACTTCCATGCCAGCGGTAGCACATTGCACCTCATGTACAGTGTCCTTTCGTGGATGCTGGTTTGTTCCTTCAGGTTTCCAAAGGCTTTTGAGACAACGTGGGGTTTAGGGTGTAGGGTTGCGGGTAGCCCGCCCTAAAACCTCAGCCTTGAGTCCCTTCCGAACAGGCTCAGAAGAGAAAGTCGCTAAGTGGCTTCCGGGCCTTGGCGCGGCATGTGGAGGCAGAAGTTTAAGTTAACCTGGGGATCCGAAAACCTAGCGTTTTAAGGGTTCTATCTTCTAAATAAGGGGCCATAACCTACTATGTTGTAGGGTTTAGGGTCACAGGAAAGGTATTGTCTAGGGTTTTGTTGGACGTTTGCATGCTTTACGCGGTGTTCAAAGGTTTTTTAGTCAATTGGGTGTTCAAACTTTTACGGGGTCTTCTCTGGGTGAATGTTTCTTAGCGGTAGCTGGGGCGCTCAAGGTGAACACGTCACTCTTTGGGGCGAAGCTGTATGGACTCCTGCTTTTCGGTACTCCGTGGTTTCGGACACGCGCAGGCGGAGCATCAGCTGTCTCTTAGCCACGGCTTCTGCTCGAAAGTGCCTTTCCTGAAGTGTTAGGCGGGTTACGGGTTTTTGGGTGTTGCGGTTTTCCGTATATGGGGCTCTAATTAGGGATTGTTAAGGAAGGTAGGCACTTTATCTTATTGCTGAATTTCAAGCGTAGGGTGTCTACGTTGTGGATAGATCGAGGTCTCTCCGTGAGACACACTATCCGATAGCCATATAAGCCCGATGCCCTATGCAACCCTCACCGGACGTTGTATCACCGCTTTGCCTGAACAGTTTTGAAATGAGACCCTGGAACAAAGCAACCCTAAAACCCAAACCTCTAAATCGTATAAACTCCCTTACTTAACGGGACCCTAATGTCTTCTGGCTTTAAGACTTAGCTAAACCCGAAACCAGTCAGGTCCAAGCTGCACAGTCCTTTGCCCAGACACGTTAAACCCTTAGACCGGGGTCAGCAGACGACCACATCAAAAACGGAGTCCGTCGAAAATTCGTTGGGCTTTGGGTCGACGGTTTCGGTGGAACTAGATTCTTAGATGGAGTTTAGGGGCTGTGGTTGAGGGGTCCTCGCGTTTCCCTGTTTTGCCGGTCTAGCAACCGATAGACTCAATAGACTTTGCTTGCGACGTCTCGCAAGCTCCATGTCTCCGCACGGCATAGGTTTACACGCCTATGTGTGCACATACAATATATGCATATGTTATTATGTTATGTGTATATATATATACACACACATGTATACCTATATATATATATATATATATATATATATATACATATATATATATATATATGCATACATACACCCTTTCTGGCAATCAACCTGTCTGCCCAGCTACCCATCTACCTATCTACTTGATCTACTACCTGTCTAGCCAACTGCCCGTCTAGCTATCTACCTGCCCACCTATCTACCTACCTGTTGCCTAGCTAGCTAGCCAGCTAGCTGACGATCAATCTATCTGTTTACCTGCCTATCCGTTTGCCTGTCTCCACCTCTCTATCTATCTATCTATCCATCTGTCTTTCTGTCGATCCATTTAACTTTCGCTTTGGATTTCCGTCTATCTATCTACCTAACTACCCAATCTATCCTTCAAACGGGGGGCTGGGGAGTTAAGTGGCTCAGGCACGCTCGAAACTGACTGTCCTTCAACCGAGACCCTAAAACCGACTAGACGAAATATTACTGCCCTTGTAGTATCCAAGGTAGACTTTCTCCAACGCTTCCTCCAGCGAGTGGCAAAAATCCAGGTTGACGAAGGCGATGATTCGGAGTTGAAGCTGGCGTTCAGGGATTTAGGGTTTTGGGTCCAGGGTTTACGGTGTAGGGTTTGGGGTTAGGGCTTTTTAGAACCAAGGTGTGTCAGAGTAATTAGTCCGTGAGGTTGGGGGTTTTGAAGTCTTGATTGTGCTTCCTTGATTTGCTGCTGCTATTTCGGGGAGGCGCAGGGATCGCGCTAAACCTAGGATGGATGGGTCCCCTCATTCCGATCAGCTGTCTAGAGGACTGCCTTCAACAAAATGCAGACCCTAGCTCAGAACCCCCCTCTCAATAGGTTCAGAGGTCAAAATGTAAGGTAAGGGCTTTAAAGATCAGGGGTCTTTGAAGCAGTCGTCTACCTCAACCCAAGCCTGAGACGAATCAGCAACTAGGGCCTGTAGTCATCTTGAAGAGATAGTCGCAATCTGGAAGGCCCCAAGATTGATCTTAGTCGTTAGGTCATGGGCGTGTTTTAAAAACATCAGGTTTGATCCGTCTGGAAGGAACCGTATGCTGTAAAGCCCAAACCCCAACGCCGCCAAACAGAGTGTTTTATTCTTCGTAACCCCATTCACCGAATTTTCTAAGGAGGCCTATGTACGCCCACCAATTCCCCAAACATGAGGGCTGCTTCATGTGGGAGTCTCTGAAAATTAGGGACACCTTATTTTGGGCTCCTTTTAATATAAGGATCCTACCATTTAGGGTGCTATACTTAGTCTCCCCTATTTTCGGAAACCCCCATGTGAGAAGGTCATTGGGCTCCTGACCTTGTGGTGGATCACTTCGAGGAAGATCCCTGGCAACTCAGCAGCGAAGACTACCGCATGCAGTGGACAGTGGTCCAGAACGAGTTGCGTGCTGTGTTTTAAGGTTTCTGCCGGCTTTAACCAGTGCGACCCAAACATAATCGCTGAGCTGCTCGCTTTTTACACCTTCTGTTCTTTTGACAGGCCTTTGTTCAGCTGAGCCTTAAGCCTCAAATCTCAAAACTCACTGCTGAGCATCAAACCCAAGGGTCCTAAGAGCTCAAGGGTTCCAAGCGGGGTTTTGAATCAATCTAGACTGTTGCTGAGTGTTTGGGGCTCCTCACGGGTGCTGGTGGGTGTGTTTTGGCGAGATGGTCGGGATAGTGCTTCGGGCCCTACTTCAGAGATACCGTTGTGGCCGTTACGATTTGCGTATGCATTCCTCATAGACGTGCTTGTCGATTGGAAACGAGCCCTACAGATTCAACTGCTTACTTACATCATCATATTTTCCCCCAGTTATACGGGACAAATCCTACAGCGCAGATTAGGAGAGCAGTGCTGTGGAAATCGATAAGGCTTCAATGCAGCAGTAACTGATGTGCAGGCAAGACAAGTCGCGGTGATATGCACTGCGCATGGTGTGGCTAAATCTTTGAAGGGACCCCAAACCTCAGTATAGGGGCTTAAAATTGTAGTATAATGGGCCCCCAAACCCTACTCTAATTAGTAAAGGCCCGTATATTAACCCTGGAAACGGAACCCGCAACCGTTGGAGTTTTGATCGGACTTTTCGGGAGACCCTCGGCCGCAAGGGGGGTTTGAGACTTTCGGAGTTTAGGATTTAGGGATTAGGTTCAGGTAGATCCTAAACCCGAAACCGGAGAGTCAGAGAAGATGGAGTTGCGCAATCTCCAAACATAGCAAAGCTTGATGTAGAGCCTGGAGTCCCCTTGTACGAGTACTGCGAGTGCTGCATCCCAGGCCCTGCTCCGCAGATCTTCACACAAAGCCATAGCACAGACACCAACTCTAAACCCCAAGCCTTTGAGCCCTAAAGTTTAAACTCCCACAGAACTCTAAACTTCCCGAAACCCTAAACCCTAAACCTCAAACGGCGAAGTGAAGCCTTCAGGGTTCTTCTCTGCGCCTGCTGCATGCTCGACGAGCTCGGCCTTACTGACTGGGCCCGACGACTGTGCTGGCAACATCGTGAGCTGCTGTGCCTTGGCTTAGGGTTTAGGGGGTTCAGGGGTTCAGGGGTTTAGGGTTAGGGGCTAAGGATTTGGGGTTGCTTTGGCTGTTTCTCTGGTGTTTAGGACCCCTAAACCATGAACCACTCCAAAGCCTACATCTTCCTAGCCTGCATATTCTGCACATGTCTTCGTGCTGGGAGTGGGTGCTTTTAATATTCATGAAGCACGTCCTGTCCGCTAAGATATGTGTTTGTATCTTCGGAATATGCATGACAGGTACGCAAAGGTACAGAGTTGAGGGGGTCTCGGGCCGGCAAGAGTGGGCTTGTACGTAAGGTACCTCTTAGCTATTTCTACATTTACATGAAGCCCACCAACTAAAGCACTCAAGATTTTAACCCCTAAGCCCTACATTCTGAGCCTGGCCTACTACGCCCATTACGCCCCTACTTGCAAATCGACGCCTGAACTCTGGAAGAGCACGATCAGAGGCCCACAGGCCCGAAAAGCGCAAGCTGCACGACATAGAGCGTAGGCTTAGGATTTAGGTTTTAGGCAAGGGTCATGACTGCCTTTATGGACTACGCCCTATACTTAGGCGGTCATAACCGGCTGTTTTGTGGGGCTTGGATCCACACCCTAAACACTAAACCTCAAACCGACCCCCTCAAACCTGCAAATCGTGGCAGCCCAGGGGGCCTTTGATCAAAAATATCCCGGCCTGCGGGTATCTGTGCAGCCCCAGCATGCCGTTGCCCAAGCGGGAGGAGCGACCCCTCCGTATGATACCATCAAGAGCCTAGAGGCGTAGAGTCGTAACTCCCGTGCAGTGGCCACGGGGAGCGAACCATAAACTCTGTTGGGGCTCTTGATTCGGTGGGTCTAGAAGCATGCAACACTGACGTGGGATGGGTCTCAAGGAGTTCTTGGGGGTTGTGGGGGTTGAGGTTTTAGGGCTTTAGGGTTTAAACTTTAAACGAGCGGGTTGAAGGGTTTTAGGCCCTGGGGCATCTCAATAACTGCATACATGGGTAGACCTCAGCTGGGGGTCTTCTGAATTCCGGCAATAGTCTAAGAAGGTTGCTCCTTTCGCAGGGCCAGGGAAGTTCGCCACTACATCACGAGGTGTAAGACCGCTGCCACTCTCCTTGGTTTGTCCCTTACTTGTGCTGTTCTTGCTGTTGCCACGTGGCTCAGGTCTTAATTGCTGTTCAACACAGTGGTAATCCGTGGCAGTACTGTTGCTACGGTCCCGGCCAGCTTTATCACTACAATCAGTATCCGATGTGTGGGTTTGAGGCTGGTATGGAGGGGCTATTTCCGGAACCTCGATTTCAAGCTTTAAAAGCTGTGAACTTTGCTGTGCCAGCCTAACCCACAGTAAAACTGCAAGTTCAGGCTTCCAGGCCTACCCACTCGGCAGCTGCCAAGAGCAGCAAGAACAGGCAGTGAAATTCGCCCCGCCGACCTCGAAACACTATAAACCCTAAGCCCGAAACTTTTTCAACTCCAAACCCCCGATTAAACCTCTAAACCCCTAAACCCTTCAACCCTAAACCCTTAAACCCTACAGCCCTAAACCCCTAAATGCCAAACCCCCATCTCCGAAACTCCAGACCCTGTGCCCTGGAAGCCCTTGAGGCCCCACACGCCTGAACCCCAAATATCCCCAAGTGAACTCGAAATTGCCGACCTTCTCGTTTTTGTTTTTGGTGTTTAGGGTTTAGGGTGACCTTCTCAGGGTTCCTTGAGGGTTTAGACTTTGGAGTTTACGGGTTTAGGCTTTAGGGTTCCTTTCTATGAGCCAGGAAACCGAAAACCTTAAGTTCGTCTCCACTCCTTTCGCAGGACCACTTCGGGCCGGTTCAGGAGGGATGCCTTGGCTTCTGGGAAGCATCCCTCGGTTTCTATCGAAGCTCTTAGTTTACAGTAGAAGCCCAGTTGGAAACCCAATAGCCTCAATCCTGAAGAGTAATGTAAGGGAATCCCAGCTCTATTTGGCCTTAATCCGGTTTCCAACTGTATGGGTTTTACTGTAGGGCTGAGGCTATATACAGGGTATATCATAGCGATATTAAGGGTATATGCCCAAGGGGTCCTTATTAAGGGTCCCTCCTTTTACCCTTGGAGTTTATGGGGGTTTGCAGGGGTTTGTAAGGGTTTAGGGCTTAAGGGAATCCCCAAGCGTTGACCCCGAAACGCAAGAGTTTAACTGGTGATTAGGGTTGCAGGGTTTAGGCTTTCAGCCTTTAACGATTAGGGTACACGCTCGTGCAAGATCCACCATGTGGGAGTTTCCGAAAATTAGGGGTACCTTCTTTTGGTGTCTTTATAATAAGGATCCTACTATTCAACATTTAGGGTACGATGTTAGGGTCCCCCATTTTCGGAAAAACTCCCATATCGGTACTTAGGCATGTTAAACGCAGTCTATTTGCGACCAGGGGAAGAGCAAGGACCTGAACAGTGGCAGTGATTGCTGCCTGAAGCCCCAAACTCCAAGCTGTGGTTCACCTATGGGTGGTTGTTAAAATTGTGCTCCCTTTTGGGGTCCCTAATATTATAGTACGGCACCTAATATTTAGGGTACCCAAAAAGGGACCCTAATGGTGACAGCCACCCATATCAAACCTCGAATCCTACACATGCAGCCCCGAACTTCCTCTCTTCTAATGGGTAGCCTCTCGGGTGCCATACCGCTTGTGGGGGTACAGGGATCCCTGGCCCATGAAGGCCCTACTTAGCCAGACTCCTTAGTGTAGAAGCCTAAATGCTTCGTAATGCTGTTCCCTTGGGCTCCTTGTTATAGTTACGCTTCCACATATCCCAAACCCTCGTTCTCCTTCTTACTATTAAGGCCCCTATGTCAGATCCAGCCCGCCGGTTTAGGGGCTTTTGGTCTTAGGGCTTAGGTGCAGCGCAAAGCCTCAACAAGAACCTATCCTCAAGCCCTCAAAGCGAAAAAGGGGTAAATAGTTAGTTATTGAGTGATAACATGCCCTGATATGGCCGAAAACCCTCTCTAAGTAAGTATGAAGGCCCCTTGCACTAAGCCCACAACAAAAAACTGAACCCTCCTAAGCCGAGACCTTCAAATCTCAGGCTTGCCGGAGGACATTTGCGTGACCTTTGTGGCTACTGAGGAGGCCCGATGCTGACACAAGCATTTCAAGGAGGGCACGTGGCATTTGTTGTTGTTGGTTTTCTTCGAGGATGTTCATATAAAGATTCTGATTGGAAACCAAACTTTACTTGCACCAAGCTCCCTATAGTGAGCAGTGCCTCAGTGTCAGTGTGTGTGTGTGTTTGCTTGTGCACACGTGCAATTGTGGTCTAAAGCTTCTTAGTTGCAGTTATACCATGTTACCCATCGATGCTGTAGTGCTGGGGTCTATTTCGGGTTTAGGGTTTGCGGTCCTAGGCAGGCAGATGAACATAGAGGTCGGAAAGAGCAGCAATAATGCTCCCAATGTGTCGTCCCCATGATGAGTACAGTGTAATATTGCACCTCCAACGACATATTCAAAGTATTAAGGCCCCTATAGCGTAGAACGACAGAGCTCTTATCGTACCCTTATCGAACCCGTCAAAGAAGCCTAGAAAGGAACCCAGATCTAACTTTTTCTTGAGGGTCCTGCTTTGAGAATTTGAGGGCTGCCTGGATTTAATCTTAGGGTTTGAGGTTGGGGGCTTGAGTTTCAGGAGAAAGCCCCAAACAATTAGTAGAGAACTTTCTTGAGTATGTGGGATGAATTGTGTAAGCTTTTTTGCTACATGAGGTTCTGGCCCTGTATTGTTCCGATGTTTTGTAGGAGGTTGCAGGAAAGGCTCTTGCAAGGGTTCTCATAAATTTCGTAGGGGTTTTGCGGTTGAAAGGTTTCTGTTCGCAGTGCACCGTTTTGTTGACTTCGTCTCTAGGCTGAAGCTTGAAATATACCTTCAAACACTACACCTGCAGGCCAAAGTACATGAGGCTCACACCATTGAATCATGGTGAGTTCTCAGTTCTCCAAGCTGGGGCCCCGATTAGGTCCTTACCTATACGATGACATGCTCTTTTGGGGCCCAAAACCCAACAGGGTCCGAAGAATCTACATAGTACTGTTGGGGCTTGCGTGTGCAACAGTGTATAGCTTGCTAGGGTCCCTTGGCAAAATTGGTTCAGAGTCGATAAACCCCTGCACGCTAAACCCCAGATCCCGAATCCTAAAACCTCGAGTTTGAATTCCAGACCTCAGACCCTAAAAGCCCTGAGATAGGGGCCTTAATGATCACCTATACTATTTTTGGGGGTTCCTTATTATAGTAAAAGTACAGTGGGCCCCCAAGCCCTATCTAATTATTCGTAAAGCCCCTATATTATGCCCTGAACCTCTGCGGCCTCTGCGTCACAGGCTCTAGCAGCTGTGATCGAGAGCTTCCCATTAGAAGACTTGCCACTTGTCCTGAACAGGCACTGAGGGCCTTTTGGGGGTTTCTTGAGATCTCTCTCAGTCTCTGTCTCTCTCTCTCTCTCTCTCGCTCTCTCTCCCTGTCTTTCTGTTTATACATCGAATATTGAAACTCCATCTTGGAGGATCGTGTGACTGCATAAGGAGCTTTTTAGTGTTTCCTCGGCTCAGCCCCGCACTTGCAGGTAGTATGTGTTCTCGACAGTGCGTAGGAGTGGCAAAAGAAAGTCCAGGAGCTAAGCACCGGAAAGACACCGACAACCGCCGTACTGGACTTGAGCTATAAGCTGAGCGAGAGTTTGACGACAAGTTTGTCACATCTTCAAGCGGGTCAACGGCGGCACCTTCGCAAGGAGCGAACTCCACAAGGAGGGGGGATGTTGATGCTTGAAGCTTCGGTCTTACGGTATGGCCCGTGCGCTCGTGGAGGAGGTGGTCACCACACTGGCAAAGGAGTGCGACGAACCGGCCTTGCAAACACTGAACAGTGAGCTCTCGAAAGGGAAGAGACCGCTCCCCAACCACGGTGGCCGCAGGAGAAGCCCCACAGTCTCCGTCTAGTCCAGTCATGCTCTAGTAGCAGGTCCTTTCTTCAACTTTACGACACGGTATCGGAAGTTTAGGGTTTGCAGCGCGGGCGCTTAGGCGTAAGCGGGAGAAGCGCGCAACTAGAAGTTTCAAAACCCTCCCAGGAATTGCTCGCTGAGGATTTTTCACATCATTGTATGCTCTAGCAAGCACTTGCAATGTAGTCTTACGGCATAGAGTTTATGTTTGGCTGTGTAAGTTCAAAAGTAGGTTTCTGGGCGTGGCCTTACCTATCATTGGGCTGTAGGTTCAAATCTTAAACCCTGGGTGCCTGAACCCTTAAAGCGCGAATCCACTCAAACCGTACACCACTTATCTTTTACTAGATTGTGAACTAAACTCGTAAGCCCTTTCCCAGCACCCTTAAATAAACTCTGACAGTAACCCTATCCGGCCCTACCCTTATAGTACTACCCTTAAGCGAAACCATAGTGCTTTTGAGGGAGCACTAAACCGTAAATCCATCGGGGTCACGGTCTGATTCCATCGTTTTTTTTAACCAGTTTTGAATGTCCTTCATTCTTTTCGCTACCATATTTTTGACATCGTGAATCACGTATCCACTCTTCTTATTAAACCCCAATGAAGTTTTGATCCAGACGTGACCCCAAATTGGGTGAGCTTCCTCCAGCCATCCTTGCGTCTACTACTTTCCACTGGTCTCTCTCCAAAAACCTACACTCCCTCAGACGTCGATGGAGCCCCCTTGAAGAATGACAACGGCCCAAAAGGCACCAACTTCGAAGTTCCATGTTAGTTTGGAGGATTATGAACAACAAATCCTTGTATACAAAGCAAGCTGCCACAGCCCCAAGCTTAGATCGCAGACTGTGTGAAAGGATTGGCGTCGATTGCGAGCACAGCGGATGGGGTAAAGATGCTCGGATCTCCTTGCTGCAGCTGGCGGTGGCCATGGCGGTCTTCGTGATCGACGTAACTTTTCTGCAAGGAGCTGCCAACAACCCTATAAGCTAACCCTCTTGTAATAACACCAAAGCCTCATGTCACGGGGCTTAACATTTACAGCAGAAGCTAGATAAGCCCTTGGTTCATGACTCCTAAGCCCGAATCCGCTACACCCTCAAGCCCTAAACAGCAAGCCAGATATAGGATTCAAAAGGAACTCCATGAAAACAACCTGCAGAATCCTTAGATACAACCTCCAAAACGATAGACCCTAAACTCTAAGCGGTAAAATCCAAACCCTGAGCCACAAACTCAGCGTCTCCGCCCAAGCAAGCGGATGCCCCGACAAGCTTCCTCTGTATAAGTACGTCCTGCAAGGAGTTAGTTACGGGATGAATGAGGACTTCAAGGCTGCGTTAAAGGGTTCCGTGGCGGGCCCCAGAAGGGTGAAAGGTTAAGTCCCGCCAGTAGTTCCCTCATGCCGCTGTTGATTTGTAGCGTCCCTGTCGAGACTGAATCATCGGAGAAAAGGTATCCGTAATATGAGGCTACTCGGGAACCACACCAGCAAGCGGATCCAAAGAGTTCGTGTGCAGTTTAAATCATGTTGTAGGAGGCAGGGGCCAGAAGGGTCCTGAAATCCTGGGGGGTGAGTTTACCTTGAAACAGATGCGACACAGGTTCTTGCGCTTGCCAACAGCGCGGCTTTGGGACGTTTGTCGCCGTTGCTCAGTTCCGCGGCAGAGGCGACAGCGTCAGGGCCTGCTCCCGAATACCCAGAACGCGAAGATGTTGCAAGGCGTTGGAGTCCGAACAGATACACAAGATAATCTCTTCATAGTCAACATGTCTTGACTAGACTATGCCCCCAAACCCAGTAATTCAGTCCTCTAGAGTCTGGCGCCTAACGTCGGATGCATCGGGGGGGGGGGTGGAATTCGGATGCGGAAGCTTGCAGGATTTCGGGGTTTCGCTTCTAAGCTGTGGTCTGGTGCTTTGGGGTGCAGGGTTTGAGGTCTTTGAGGCGTGAACTTCAGAGTTTAGTTTTTACCTGTAGTCTCCATTGTAGTTCCGTTTTCTGGTTTAACCAAATATATAAGTAGGATCCTATAAGGAAACCCCCAAAAAGGAACTACAATGGAGACTACAGGTAGGGTTTTGGTTGGAGATTTTTTGGCTCGAGTGGATGGGCATTAATAGGGTTCGCGGAGCATATTTCGAGGCCCTCTCGGTTTAGGGGGTTTAGGGCTTAGGGGGTTTAGGGGGTTTAGGGCTTAGGGGGTTTAGGGGGTTTAGGGTTTAGGGGGTTTAGGGTTTAGGGGGTTTAGGGTTTAGGGGGTTTAGGGTTTAGGGGGTTTAGGGTTTAGGGGGTCTAGGGCTTAGGGGGTTTAGGGGGTTTAGGGTTTAGGGCGTTTAGGGCTTAGGGGGTTTAGGGCGTTTAGGGCTTAGGGGGTTTAGGGGGTTTAGGGTTTAGGGGGTTTAGGGCTTAGGGCGTTAAGGGCTTAGGGGGTTTAGGGGGTTTAGGGTTTAGGGGGTTTAGGGCTTAGGGGGTTTAGGGTTTAGGGGGTTTCTAGGGCTTAGGGGGTTTAGGGTTTAGGGGGTTTCAGGGCTTAGGGGGTTTAGGGGGTTTAGGGTTTAGGGGTTTAGGGTTTAGGGGGTTTAAGGCTTAGGGGGTTTAGGGCTTAGGGGGTTTAGAGGGTTTAGGGTTTAGGGCGTTTAGGGCTTAGGGGGTTTAGGGCGTTTAGGGCTTAGGGGGTTTAGGGGGTTTAGGGTTTAGGGGGTTTAGGGCTTAGGGCGTTTAGGGCTTAGGGGGTTTAGGGGGTTTAGGGTTTAGGGGGTTTAGGGCTTAGGGGGTTTAGGGGGTTTAGGGTTTAGGGGGTTTAGGGCTTAGGGCGTTAAGGGCTTAGGGGGTTTAGGGGGTTTAGGGTTTAGGGGGTTTAGGGTTTAGGGGGTTTCAGGGCTTAGGGGGTTTAGGGGGTTTAGGGTTTAGGGGGTTTAGGGTTTAGGGGGTTTAAGGCTTAGGGGGTTTAGGGCTTAGGGGGTTTAGGGGGTTTAGGGTTTAGGGCGTTTAGGGCTTAGGGGGTTTAGGGCGTTTAGGGCTTAGGGGGTTTAGGGGGTTTAGGGTTTAGGGGGTTTAGGGTTTAGGGGGTTTAGGGCTTAGGGGGTTTAGGGCTTAGGGGGTTTAGGGGGTTTAGGGTTTAGGGCGTTTAGGGCTTAGGGGGTTTAGGGGGTTTAGGGTTTAGGGGGTTTAGGGCTTAGGGGGTTTAGGGCTTAGGGGGTTTGGGGGGTTTAGGGTTTAGGGCGTTTAGGGCTTAGGGGGTTTAGGGCGTTTAGGGCTTAGGGGGTTTAGGGCTTAGGGGGTTTAGGGCGTTTAGGGCTTAGGGGTTTTGGGGGTTTAGGGTTGTCAGTCACCTGACCCGGCGCGCCTGCAGCACCAAATGTTCTCAAGGTGACGAATGCCGGGAGTGCCAACGACTAACTCAATCGATAATGGGAGGGCTTAGCGCTCCGAACAAAGAGTAATCGAGGGCGGTCCTTCTTTTCCCTTCGAGCATCCGAGACTGCGGTGATGAAACCATGGATGCGTGCAATCACACAAGCTTGTTGCTTGCATGCCCCGGTATCCCCTTTTCAAAGATAAACACATTCCCTCAGGAATTCTTCTCTTCGTTACACCCAGCAAGTGGAGCTATGCCCTCTTGCTTCCTGCGTCGAGCGGATCTCATCTGTTCATCTTCTACGATACGCCATTGATGTTGCATCTGGTAGTACAGCTCGATCTCGGGGCAGTTGCCATGCTTCGTTAAGCTATTAGCCAACTGAGCCTCTGAATGGACCCATCTAATGACTAAACTTGTAGCAGCTTGCGCCTCTTTGAGCCCGAGCAATTCCAGATCTGTTCGCTTCTCCGCGCCCTTCACTACAAGAACCTCCTGATTCACCTTGTCATAAACATTCCTAGAATCAGTAACCAAACACCCCGGAACCTTTCTCACAGCAGCTTGAGCATCCCGAACATTCTCAATCCCAAACTCCATTTCTGACCACTGAAACCTGGCGTAGTAAAGTGCGTCCTCGCCATTGACTGCTGCCAAAGCCTCTGCCGCACCGGGTGATCTGCACACTCGGTCCACTCGGGACGAGTGCCAAGCCACCGGGGTTACTTTCCCGACAGCTCCTGATAGCATAGCCTGAGGACCCAAACCTATGAAAATCCCCTGAGTCCTTCCACCATCAGTCCTGTTGCCTGAAGCCGCGTCAACCCAAGCATACATCATCACAGGTTCATCCATGGGAATGGCATGTATCAGCATGTGGTGTTGCTTCCTTTGTTTCACTTGTCTCAGCAAAAGGTTACAACGTATCACCGTGTCCACTGTGCTTCGCGCAATCTCAGACAACAGCAATCCCACTGAGGCTGACAAGTGGGGCGCAGTTTGTTGCGCCAACCAACTCAGACTACCTAACAGTGCCCTCATCTGTCCTTTTTCTTTGTCGCTAGTCGGTTGATCCCGCTCCTTCCGGCGGGTGGCATTCAGGTTAATCTCTTGAAGACCCTCCACAAACTGCGGCTGACTCAACCTGAAACCTTCCTCAACCCTCTCCACCTTGACCCCGCATTGGACAAAGTTGTCCTTTTCCCAATCACCCCATCTGAAACGCTCTTGGATCTTCTTAAGGATGGCCTGCCACTTGGGGTCCGAGGTACTTCCTGCAAATAAGAAGTCATCTACGTGACCCGAAATAATGCCTCGGAGTTCTCCTTGATCTCGCCATATCCAAGTACAAGCGTCGCTCCAGGATCGTTCCAATCCCAGGCTTTCCAAGAACTGAGATACTGATCGATACCACTCCAGAGGCGCGTCCACCAAGCCGTAACAGGCTCGCTTGAGCCTCGTAATACTGCCGCGTGGAAGTTTCATCTGGTCACAGATTTCGTCGCATGGTACACAGTGTAGAACATCTGGGTACTCTCTCCCTTGCAGGAAAGCTCCCGAAACGTCGCCCTTGTAGACAGTCCATTGTCGTCGCGCAGCCTGTTGCAAGAGAAGTTGTCGTGACTGTTTGGTCATAACAGGAGCCGTGGTAGCACGATGTTCATATGACGGGTCTTGGTAGCCAAGCAATACGGCTCTAGCCTTCGCCTTTCGTGAGCCGTCTTCCTTCTGCTTCCACGTCAATATCCATCGCATGCCTATCGCCTGCTGGTAGCTGGGTTTCAAATGTTCCGGCAATACCTCGAATGCCTGAGCAGCAATAAAGTTGCGAACCTCCACTGCTTTTGCTTCTCTGAACATGGCTTTCTCTTCTTCGTTCAGATGTTTCTCTCGCACTTCGACCGCTCTACGTTTGAAAGCCCCAACCATGTAGCACTGCAAATTGTTTGTAGCTTGCTTCCACGCTCTATCGGTACTAGGCATCTCAACTTCAACTTCAACACACGCACTCTGATCACACCAGTAGGCCGGTTCTGTGCTGAACCATGCGTCCTCTCGCACTTCTTCCCACCATCGCGTTCCTGTCAGGGTCTCCTGAAAGGATGCTTGTCCTGGCGGATGGGTTCTCGGCCGACTTCGGGAGCTACTCGCGGGTTCCCTACCGGCATCAGGAATCAACTCCTCATCTGAATCCTGAACTGGGCTGGTCACGGCAGCCCTCTTCCCTCGAAACCTCGTCCGAACCGGCTGGGTCTCCTCAGCAGGGTCCTGGGCACGCCACCACTCCGGAACTGACGGCTGGTGTCGCGTGAGGTCCTCGTATTGGCTACCGCCGATCTGCTCAGCGACCTTGGTGTAGGTCCAAGGCGTGCGGTCCTGTTCCGCAAGGCTCTCCACGAGTTCCTCACGTTGTGAGGCTCTACGCAGTTGTTCCACGCAACACTTAATCAGTTGCCTACCACGAACGCACCACACCGACGATCCTGGCTTCAACGTCCCATCGGGTTCTCGCTTGGTTTCCATAGCCAATATCCTAGCCGGTCCCATGAATTGCCCCTTTTTGGAATTGGGGCCCTCCCTGTGCCTAGAGGCATCTTGTTGACGCCAGTAGTAAACAAGTTCTCCTGGTTGATAGTCAAACACGGGCCGCGTTCGGGAGTTTTGTGCTCGATTCAACCTCTGTTGGGCATTCCATTCGGCATGGGCCTTTTCGGCTTGTGCACGTCGTTCCACGGATTGCCTGAACTCAGTGTTGGGGTTCTCAATCAGAAGTTCCGGAGGGAGGGCAGGAGTCGCCACTTCTATCCTACCGGTTTCGTCGGGGGTTTGACCTAACACGTGTTGCGCCGGCGCGAAACCCCGAACCAAATCCCTCTGATTGAACACACGCACTGCCGTTGCCAGAGCTTCCTCAGCACTAATGTCCTCGTCTGACATGTACAACTTGTCCATAACCATCTTCAATCCCTGAACAGCCTGTTCCACAACCCCCACTTTCCAATGAGCCTCCCCTGGAACCAGATCCAAAAACACGTCATGCCTGTTACAGTAGTCACTGACCGCTTGACTCCTGAAGTTGCCTGCGGGGTCCAGCCTAAGGGTCCTAGGATTTCCGAATATCTGGGCCCATCCTTCACGGAGAAACTGAACGCACGTTGCCCCTGACGGTTGCTGTTTGGGTCCTTTCGAGAGTATCTTCGCTACCCGGAATCTGGAGCCCTCATCGATGATCACCATAAACTGACAGTGTTCCTTACCTTTGGGGTGGTACCAGTGTCCTACATCCGCAACGATAGTGTGGTACTTTG